TGAAGTCAAACCATTCTGTTTTTGCTTCAAATTTCAAAATTATACAATCTAATTTAGTTTAAAAACTGCTCATGTTCCATGTATGCAGCATCTTTGTTTGGATCAAGATTAAAATGCAGTGGTTGCCTCTAATTTTAAAAGGAAAGAGCACAGACAAAGCCTTATTTTGTTTATATGAAGAGATTTCTTTTATTTGTGTTACTCATTTATATGATTTGGGATTTGTTTTAAAATTTCAATGTAGTTTTGTTATTTACATTTACATTATATTTCAATTTAGTCATTTAGCAGACGCTTTTGTCCAAAGCGACTTACAAATGAGGACAACAGAAGCAATCAAAACCAACAAAAGAGCAATAATATGCAAGTGCTATATTAGTATATTATTATATATTATAGTGTTATATTTCAATTTCACAAAGAAACGTGCAGCATTTTGTCCAAGCAATAATAAAAGGGCACATTTAATTTATCATTTGTCTTAAATCTCATCGTAAGTTGAGTGAATCGTTACATTCCTACACAACATTATGAAAAATACCACTGTGTTTGAAGGATACAACTTGATTTGTGCGTTTCCTTTTTAAAATACTTTGTCAGTGACGCGCTGAGTCAGACAACTGCATTTACACTGCAATACATATAGGCTTATCTGTTTCCACTAAAACAGCTAAAAGATGTTCACCGTATCAGCAAAACTGCATTTGATTTGATTTGTTTAAAACGATTGAAATACTATTGGGCCAGTGGAAAAGAATGATGTCAAGTTTATTCTAAAATAGGCTATTTATCTGAGAACTAAACCGTTTTGTTTTTATGGATATTTTGATATATTTATTCTAAAACATAAGGATACCGGATGATTTTTCCAATAAAAATTAATGTGTATGGCACAAATGGCATTTATAGTCCGTATCTCATATTTCCTTAATGTCGTTTATCTTTGACGGTGTTAAACATGCTGTCACGTGGATGGGAATATGCATGGAAATGATATGCAGATGAGGTTATGCATAGTAAAACTAGGCGTTGTAAGCTCCATATATGGTGATTTCTGGGAGGAGATGCACGTACGCACAATCGATTTTTGCACAGGTTCTGGCGTATGGTTTTATAAATCTGAAAATTTGTTCGTACGTACACTTTTAGGATGAAATCTACAAAGAGTTTTATAAATGAGACCCCAGGTGAGTTTAGGAAACGTTTGCAGGTTTACTTGTCATGCCATTATTAGACTTGTTAATGCAAAAAAACCTGCCACAGCTTCATAGATGTACACTAGCTGTTTAGGACAGTGTTTTTCACCAACGGCACAGTTTTACAGAAAGTTTTCTTCTTACCATGGCAGTGAGGAGGGTTTTACCTGTGGTCACCATGATTTACAAACACATAACACTATAGAGGATCTGTAGACTCATGTTAGTGTGCAGCCCTGTATTCAGATTTAGGACGCGCTCCGTTTATTATACATTAGATTTACTGAATCTTATCAGTTCAATCATGTATGACATTACACAACCTAGCAAACCTCACGCTGCAGTTACAAAAGAACAAACTATCAGACAAGCCCGGATTATGATTTGTAGTTTTGCACAGCTCTGGCAACTACTGCTCTATAGTGCATTATACAGTCATGGAGAAAGACCTGATTCTGCAGCTGAAGCTTATAACTTCACTCCGAGCGTACCTGACTGTATTTCCCGTCTTTAATGTCCTTCTGTCTGTTCAGGAACCAGTCAGGGATTTTGTACTGGCGAGGATTCTGCATAATGGTCACCACCCTCTCCACCTGTCAATCAATCAATAACAGCTCAGATAAACATTACTGTAAACACCCATAAAGAGCCACATACAAGCTTACACACCATTCTCATTTGAGGCGTTTCACAATATGCTTCAAAATAACTGATATGGTCTTGCTAGTTTGTCAGAAGCTAAATGTCAATTGTACCACATTTCAGAATGTTCTCCAGCGACTTGTTTTAATATGCTTCTTCCGTTTCTATAAAGAACAATAAAGTTGTTAAGTTAATTTCTGGCAATATTGTCAGCACAGACACTATTGGAAGAGAGCTGAACTGGATGATGACATCACTGAATCAATGAACTGACTTTAGCTTGAAAATGACTCTGTTATTGTCCTCTTGCATTACTGCAGACGGTTTTCCTGTTGACACTGTAAAGAACTATATAAATGAAGGTGACTTGACTAAAGCTGTCTGCTGGATTGTTTACAGGTGAATGTGTGTTTTACAAGTGTTTTCCTGCGGAGAATGAAGAGTGAAGAGTAAGCGCACCTCATCCTCAGTGAGTTCTCCAGCTCGCTTGCTCAGATCGATGTCTGCTTTCCTCAGAACCACATGAGCGTACCGCCGACCCACCCCCTGCAGAGCACAGAGAGCATTCAGAACACACACACACACACCCTGCAGAGCAGAGAGCGTTCAGAACACACACACACACACACACACACCCTGCAGAGCACAGAGCGTTCAGAACACACACAGTTTATGTTTAAAGCACTCACTTTGATGGCGGTGATGGCAAACGCAATTTTGCGTCTTCCGTCGATGTTCGTGTTGAGAACACGCAGGATGTGCTGGAACTTCTCTGGAACGACGAGCGACTAA